TTCAGAAGCAGAAAGGCCGAGTTTTACGAGACGGAATAGGCGATTAGATGGACCACATGCCGCTGAAGGACTTACAAGATTAACCAGATTAACGGCCATAGTCTGGAAACCATCATAAAACAGTTGGCTGAAATAAATGTATTTAGAAAGGAAAGATACCTAATGATCAAACGATACAGTAAATCCCTTTCTTTGAAAGACATCAGTAGCGCAACTTGTTGTATTTTGCCACAATCCACAAAAGGATCAACGGGAAAAGACTCAAGGATTTTGCGTTTGAATCAGAGTCCCAGGAATTCAGTCTTCAGAAATAATATCTACGTATATCACGACTTCACTACATAGTTATTTTTTTTCATCAACATCTGAGACATATTGCAGACTACAAATACAACTTAGGCAATTATCCTCTAAAAGTATCGCAGATTGATAAAAAGTGTAGGAATGTTGGTACCTTATGATTTAAAGTCTTGTGTCAACTGTGACAGAAATTCCTTTCGAGCAGAACTTGAAGCGCATTTTTAGCCGGCTTGACGGTAAGACTTTACACTTAATCTCTGACAGTTTTATTCGAACCCATTCGGAACACAAAAATGTGGTTTTTCCTTCCTCACTCTAAAAGAAGATAAGAATACACTGGAATGTATCCAACGGAGAGTTACAGAATCAGTTCGGAGACTTAAGTTAAAACATTATGCAGAATGTCTCACCTTACTGAAACTTTAACCATTAAAGTGTAAGCGTTACAAAGGTGACTTCTTAGTGACTTATAGTATTCCTAAACACTCCTGGATACTCCCTCAAATACTTGTTTGGGCTCAGTTCCAATACAAACCACAGTTTTAACACCTTGGATTTAGAGTCACAACGTGGTAGAAAGAACTGAATGCGCATCCGTTACTCCTTACGAGTAGTCAAACTCTGGAATTCACTGCCGCCTGAGGTGGTTCAGGCAACTTTCCAGGAGTCCCCTAACGGAAAACTTGACATATTCTGAAGGACTCAGGATAATATTTCGTTATGATTTACAAATATTTCTCTTTTCATAGTCAAATATATCTAAGTTCACAGCTGGAGGGATCAGTGGTCCACCGATACTAGTTAAGTAATACGATCGAGCAAAAGCTTCTCCTTTTACGTCCACAAGCATTTAATACTTGATAATTGTGTTGTGACCTTTGAGAAACTTAGGGTTCACCATTGAATAAGCGGTATATCTACACCTTGCGTAACGCTTAATTCCTAAATGGTTGACTTCAATGGAAAAGTACATCATTTATATCTCAGTCAATAATGTCTCATGGGAAACTTCTAAAAAAGGATTAAAGTTTTCGACTGAGTACTTGGTTAAATGTATTTGCCCTTACGTTTGTGGCCCACTACTTTATTCGTATACGTAACGTAGTTCATCTAATGAACGAGAACGAGCTTGCGGTATACATGGAATATTATCTGCACAATACGACCAGTACGTACAAGTGACCTAATGACAATCAGCTTAATGAGTATGGTGATAATAAAAAACCGCACTGTATTCAAAAGACACCCAACGGAATGACCGTACGTGGCCACGTTCGATCTTATATATCGTCTTCAGACTTCAGTAATATGGATAGGTCTATTGACCTATAATGATCCTTGCAGTTTTTATCACTGATGAGGTTCAATCTAGTTTTGAATATATCAACAGAAGGTGCTGATATTACGTGTTCGGTAGAGAATTCCTGTAATTCACTACTCAGTGGGAGAAACGGAACTCCATATGTAGACGATTTGATTTCGGGTTTTGGACTTTCTTAGAATGTTCTATCAAATTATTAATCCTAGACGGGAGGAAAAGATAAGACATTAATACCAATGTCGTCGTTCAGTATACAATGAGCCAATATTAGATCACCTCGTATTCTACGGTAAGATAACGAAAATAAGTTGAGGTCTCTGTCTACATAAGATAGGCCAGAAAGACCTTTTACCATTTTAGTCCCCCGGCGTTGAACTCGTTCCAGCATATCCGCCTCATATTTGAAACAAGGACTCGCTGCTTGAATCCCCTATTTCAAATGTGGTCGCACGAAAATTGGGTATAATAATCTAAACAATTCTTCATCCAAGTACTGATAATACTTGTGAATAGCCCTAATACCCTAAAGACGTTGGCAGCATCAGCTTTACAGTTGCTCGTAGTTTTGAGGTCGCTGCTTATTATTACTCCTAAATCCTTATAATCCATTAGTTTGGGTAACAACTTCACTTATTGTGTAGTGATGCAAATGATTATAGTTATTTATTTGAATCATCACACTCTTTTTAGAATTCACTTCTAGTGACCATCGGTCCATCTGTGCCACAAATGAATTGAGATCATCCTGTAATATTTAACTATCTGACATACTATGTGTGGGTCTCCGAACAGTTGACTTAACTGCAGTCGACAATTCATTTGCACGAAGTAAAAAGAGAAAAGGGCTAACGATTGTACCTTGAAATACTCCACTTTTTACAGGTTCCCACAATGAGAGCTCCATTTACTCTCACCCTTTGTCTCCTATCACTGGGAGAGTCACTTTTACAGTCTATGACCTTATAATGGATTTCAAAAACTTCCAGATTTGGTTTAAGACCCAGATGAGAGACCTTGTCAAAGGTTTTACTTAGGTTTATGAAAGTTACATCTACAGGAATATTTCTATCTTCTGCTGCAGTACAATGTTTTATTGAAATGATCAGATTTGTCAAGCATGACAGGCCTTTCCTAAAACCGTGTTGTTCCCTGGATAAAAGATTTTGCCCTTCCACATAGTTTAAAATAGCCAACTGAGTGATTTTTTCCATTAGTTTGGCAACACTGGTTAGACTTACGGGTTGATAGTTACTAAGTTTCTATTTCCCGCCTCAGAAACAGAACTAACTATTGGCTCTTTCGGTTTACGTGGTACTAGGTATGATATAGACGAGAATGTAACTGATCTAATCTCGCCTTTAAATATAGATTATGCTTCTTCAACTGATGAGCTAGTATCTACTGACCAATCTGTCTTAGCAGCACACTCCTGGATGACTGATGTTAGCTCTCCATACATTTGGGCGAGGCTTAACCTGATCGTATATCACGTCACTAGCTGTAAACGGGAATGACAAAACAGCGTGATCGCTATTCACTGGCGGTGAAAGAATATTTAGGTTGGCAATATCCTCAGTCGTATGAGTGATTACCAAGTCTGACAATGAAAAACTTTCCCCCGTTCTTCATGTAGCAACCCAATGCTTTCAAGGACGTCCGTATTCTTTCCAACAAAGGGTTCGATACCACACCTTCCAGCACCAGATAATTTTCACCTTGAGTACTGTGTAGCTATGAAGCTGACAGTATGGAGGTGGTTGTATACGGTTTTGGGAGATACTGGTTCATATCTGTTAGTGGTATATCGTACTCTTATTTTAGACGGCCTGTGTTTACATAAGATGACAAATATTAAAAAACATAAATTTCCCTCTTATTATGCAGTCTGGTACCGAGTAGGATACGAGATCACGAAAATACATTGGCACTGCATGTACTGATACTTCATTTCACCAAAAATGTCATGGTAGTTGCTTAAAGTTACAGCATAGGTCGTATTGGACTCTTGAAGTGTGAGTTATTTGCACTTAATTTCGTTTCGTGAATTCATAGTGTCTGATGAAACTGCAATCACATACAGTTCCCAGGCTCGATACAGAATTAGTTCACTTAATCTTACAACATGGGCTAGACAAATAATTTACTATATTGTGTTTTAATAGACTTTACACTTTGCTCTGACGGTATCTGATTCATGTGATGATTGGCTGTTGAGTTTTCATTTTATAATTTCATTGACATACTACTGACCCCACAGGTAATTCTCAAACGGATGTATGGGTTATGTAATAATCATTTGGAGAATTCTTACTTTCAGCTTGTTAGTTGAATGGCTAAGGTTTTATTTGTTCATCTCGGTTTTGTATTGAGAAGAAGCTTTTACTTATGATCATTTTGAAGTCTTTGTTATAAACAAATTATTTAAGTTAATCAAGACATATAACCTTTCAACTTTTTATACTCTTTTAAAGTCTTCGCCCAACTTGTCTCATTTAAAGCTTCATAATCAGTCTGATTGAGTAGTTGGAGAAGTAAAATAATTACCAGTGTTCCAGAAAAACCATATAAAACCAATTGCATAAAGTGTTTGAAAATATGACTGGTTATTTTATCCATGTTCATTACGTGACTGAAATAATTGTCTTTTTGATGACGACCAAGAACAGGTAATTGAAATCGATTTGTCTGAAACAGTTACCCCCATTAGTCTGTTAGTAGATGATTCTGAAGAAATCCCGGCTGTAACTTTCTTCCCGGTACAAATTTTCTCCTTATGCGTCAACGTCACTTATTAGGATGGTTGCGCCTGTACGTCATGCTTTTCATTGTAAAATGGAAAGTTGAGTATTTCGACTTTATTCAAAATGTAGTTAGTGTGTAAATAATAACTGTAATGTAGTATAATTATTTTGAGCCCCTGAAAGCCTGTTAATTTTGTAGAATAAAATAATTCTAAATTGTGATTTGGAAAATAACAAATACCTGTGATTAGCAACTTAATTGTTGGAGTTCTAAATTGACCATAGTTCAAATAGCTATACTTTTTGTTACATTTAATGAATGCAGCATCATTCGCGCGTTCACTGACCATCTCATATTTTTGGTACTTCAATTCTTTTCTTTCATAGCCGTATTTTTACTTGCGGCTGACATTGTTTTCAATCATACCACCTTAAGTTGTTAAAAGTATTTGGGTAAGTCTGTTTTAGTTTATGTTTATCAAGTTAATCATTATTATTCCGTCAAATATTACTCGTATGAACTATTCTCTTTTTACAGATCACTGCACTCGATTACTTTGGTTGAACCAACTACATCGAATTACGGTGTTTTTTGTGATTTCTCACATTTATAGAGGTGTACATGATATAAGCCAGACATGGAAGAAGAAGATACTTACTTACCAGAAGTAAATTAAATTAGAAGTTATTTTCTCTTAGAACCATCCATTACAACAATACTTTCGAGAAATTGGAATTCCGGATGTTGTCACTTGCGAACTCTCCAAAAGGCCTACTATTACCACTACTACTACTACTTTTCCGGTGAAAAAGTTTGCTCAGGTCTCATCGTATTTAAGACGTATAAATCCCTTTGATTTTACGTTATATTTCGGTTTCGATTTGCCAGTAAGTTATTGTTATTAGTTTATATTTGTCAGCTTACAAGACATTTTTTACTTCAGATAATTAGCTTAATCAAGTGCAGTGATCTAATCACTGTTGAAAATAAACCATTGGTTGAATACATATGCTCGGTGGGAAATAAAGACCAAATCGACTCAAGGTAGCAAGTGAAATTGAAATATTCTGATTGAAAAGTTATAGGTGTTGTTTTGCGATGTTTCTCATTCTTTGTGGATTCGGATTGAGTTACTTTACTCAAATGATTTTTATATTCTTACTAGTTATTTCATGTTTACGGATGTCCAATGTACTATTTCTAATAGCATCTAAATATCATCTTGCAGACTCATTGAAGCAAATGAAAAAATTCTCTCACAGATCTCATTTTATCGTTCTTTTCTTACAAGATCTCAATACCCGTCGTTATTTTGGTCCCAAGTATGCGTTTTTAAATTACTAACAACCTAATACAGAATCGTAGATAAAAATACATTTAAACTTTTCCCACTAATATATCATCAGGCATACAACTTTATGCACGCTTACCTTATAGAATTGATTAAGTTTTCTATAAAATTGGGAAGTAGGTCAAAATATTTTATTGTTATCATCGTACTATATGATTTTGTTTTCATAGACTTAATTGATGAAAATAATTCTGAAATACCATTGGAGATGTCAACCTTAGAACTGATTCAATTAAAATGTGATATAGAAGAAAAACCTAAAGACCCAAGCATTGAAAATTTAAAAGTTTGTTTTTCTCTTCGGTTCGTTTTTATCTTCCTTTTGCTTTCAGATGTTTTGTGAACTATTAAAACTGTTAACATCTGATCTCTTGGTCAAATTGTCATTCTCGTTTTGCCAATCAAGACGGGATACTTTTAATCTATGTATGTTCATCATTTGTATATATTCATTGACAGTTTGTGTAAAACGCTGATCACTCACAAGTTACTACCAAAATAAACTCATATTCTGCTTATATTTTATTGGGTGATTAAAATTTAAGGTTTTGTTTCAATGTAAGCATAAGAATATCTTTCCAGCGTGCATCATGGAATTTGTAAGTGTTATGCCCCGATAAGGATAATAAATGGTAACTTTGTGATCTATTTATGAACCAATATTATGCATATGTTTTTATTGTATAATTGTTAGGTAACTTAACTATTCATGTTCCTTTTATTATGAGCTTTATTTCGACCCATAGACTATTACTATACGATTTACCATTCTTCAGTTATACCCAGTCTATTAATTACTGTTCCTTACATTCAGAAGTATATTTGGCCGAATCTTGTACAAATGTAATTTTCCATTTTTTGGTACGATGTGATCTGTTTGATTGGTATATAAACCCAGCATGCTTGAAATAAATTATTCATACCACAGAGGCCGTCATTGGTGTTCTGGACTTAACTGGCTGTACTAGTCAGGAAAGCAAGACAGACAAGTACTCTAGACTGTTCGTACGGGTTTCGTGTGTCATCGATCTGATCGGTAAATCGCTGCTCTCTAATTGGCGGTATTATCACGTAATACATTAACAGGGCGTGTAGGCGGTCACAAGTTATAACAGTAAGGTATTAAGTAATTAAATCAATCCAGTTATTCCGAATAAAAATCAATGTTTACCACTTGTTAATCTTTTGATGCTCTAAAAATCTTAGGAATTGTTTTAATGCTAGCTATAAAAATAAAAATAAAAGGTTTCGTAATATGAGAAAATCCGGTGTTACTTGACTTATTTAGAGATGAAGCATTATTCATCAATGGACTATATTATGTGGTTAATATGATGTCTGTATATACGTTCACACTAATATTGTACATGACAACTTACCCTACTGTAAAGAGAATTTTCTAATGGGTGTCATTACATGGTGTATAGTAGGTTTTTCTAAGTTTTGTTAAAATGCTAGGGAGATGGAATAAGTGCTGGTAAAATAGTGTTAAATTATTCGTCCAAATGCCAATTCATCCATTCTTCCATGTATAGATAGATAGTATATCATAGCTCGGTATACAAACCTTTAATTGATTAATATGTCTTTTAACAAATTAACTGTTCAGTGTATCATTTAGGTAGGAAGTGATGGTTAGAGATACGAATGATTATTTAATTGTGTTTGTTGTAGCCTTTACATAAACTGTATGAGTTAAAACTGAGTACACAAATCTATGCTTGGTATATGAGCTACACCACGATATAGGACATATTAATATTGATTCTGTTTCTTTTCGTTTTTCAGTACGATTGATTATGTCGGTATGGAAATGGGACTACTTTTTGACTAAAATAAAAAATGAATTCATTAAACTAAATGAATTGCATTCAATGATTTTAAATGGCAAGCTCATATATAATAATGGTCGAACTGCAAAAGAATGTGCATCTGAAGAAAATGAAGTCAAAAATCTCTATAAACGAACAGAGTCTCGAATAACTCACGAATTATTGTTGCATCTTCTTGTTTCATTAGAACAGTAAGTTGTGCATTCTACATGTTTTGTATGATAGTGTTTGTTTCAGTTATTCCTCCATATTTTATGCTTTCTTTTTTGGCTAGTCATGTATTGTTTTTATCTGTTACGCATTTTTATATCATTTTTATATCTACTTTACCTATGACTGACTAACTGACTTTTGATTTCATCAGTAGTGTTTCCTTTCGTCTGAGTATGTTATTGTAATGAAGCAACTATTTAGTAATTAAGGTACTCTACTGTCAACCGATGAACTACATATTTGAATCCAGCTTACTCTGTTTCGATTTCGGTAGCCCGTTTTGTATCACTATCCCTCATAAAAAACAAGGCACGACCTATAACCAATTACAAAAACGTATACTTGGTTGATAAATTACATCATAATACTCCGTCCAGTTTTTATTTTTATGTAAAGGTTGATTTTTTTTCCATGTTTGGTCTCCACTTTTTTCAACTACTAGATAATGCATTGCTATTGAATGTTTCAAGTTAATTAACAGGACACTAAAAACCTGTATTTCATGCTCATTGAGGCTAATAAAAAAAACTATGTACCGATTCTTCAATTAGAATATCACTACATTTTTGGTCCGCTTCACCAACTGTCGTTTATTATCACTATTTCGATTATTCTAAAGAAAAAAGGGAAGTAATCAGGCCCGTTTTATATACGACATAAGTTTTAAGTGATCACTGCTTGTTCTGTTGTCCGTTTGCACCTAGAATATGTCTTTCAAGAGTACAGTGTTTATATTTACCGTTTGTTGCTATTATTCGAATCATTATTACATTCTTTATATCCGGAATTTAGCAACTAAGAAGTGAAAAAAGAATGAACTAGTTGGTATACATTTTATATCTTATACCTTAACTTCAAACGTCTGCTATCCACAATGTTACATTTATAGAAGTTCACGTGCAGTCGAAACTTTTGATTGGTGACCATACTTGTGTTGTGCATAAATTTTAGACATAGGTAACTAGGTATTTAGACATACAAATTGCTTTGAGCAGTAGAAATAGAAAACTACATGAAGTAGCTTTGGCTAGGAGGTTGAAGTCTTGGGCATATGGTAGTTGAAGTTAGACGGAAATTGGAATTACAGCTTGATTCGAACCATCAGCTACTGGGTAGCCAGGCTGATGCCTTACAGAGTGAGCTATAAGATAAGTTTGTTGGATGCGAACTGTTCTGTAGACTTGGATATAGAACGCTAATATCCAACAACTATTTTCAGCTTTCTGTAGCTTAATTTATACAGATACAGAACGAATATGTCTTAGAGCTTACACTAATTATTGACTTTGATCTAAATAAATGTGATGAAATCAATAGGTAAGTCATTCATTTTAAAGTAATTGGTGGTAATCAGCGTGACATGTTTCTTACTTGTTAGTATTCACCTGTGACGTATTTCAATGGTCTTGAATATAAACTTAATGCTTTTTGAATTCGAACCAGAATCATTTCACTTGATAGTTGACATCACCTTAACGTAAAAAATTCAGCATTAATATCTTTTACGCATAAAAAACATAATAATAAAAATTAATTTACTTTCAGATTGAATACAACATTATAAATTCAAAATTTATAGTGATGTATTAAAGATACTTTGTTTTGTTTTGTTTCAATCTGCGTACACTGCAACTTCTTGTAAAATTGTCTTCTCATATATTAAATATTTGAAGAAAAAACAAGCTGCAAATGTCTAACTTATTCTTTATTTCCACAGCGCCAACAACTTGAAGTCCTATGTTGAACAAAATTGTAATACATCATTTGTTTCGAATGAAACCTTTTCCAATTTCGTTAATCTTATACGTTGTCAGTTGAATGCATCCATGATCTTTTTGAATGAATTGGATAATGCTCAAACTGCAAACAATGTTGATATTTCAAAAGAAAATATAGAAGCAACTACTGTTGACTTCCTATATTGCCGAGATGGGATTTCATCTAGTAAAAATGTTCTGAAAGCTGTGGATCCAATTGTAGAGGATGATGTATGTAACAAAATGTTTTTGAGTACTTTCACCCAGTCAGTCAGCTACAACGTAGAACCAGGCACATATATGTATCAGTCCAAATTGCCATATCTCATTAGCACAACAAGATGAACACCGAATTCATAGAAGTAGTTAATTCAATAGTGGTAATATATAAAAGAAAGATTGCATATAAGGATATGGTACGGAAAGAAAGACATAAAGCAATTTTAATCTCGTAGTTTAAGAGAAGACAGAGAGCGTATACACCTACGCCATTGTAATCGATTCTGAGCCATGTCACCCAGGGTCTCCGACCATTGGTTACGATAGTCACACGGACCCCAACCAAGTAGTCTGCATCTACCAATATGGCTCAGACTAGAAGTTAGTAACTTTATGAACTGCTGCCACGTTTTGGTTTGGCCACTCCTAACTTTCTTTCAACCATCCCCAACACTAATGAACAACGGGCGTCGAGGTAATGAGTTCAGGCATACGTAACACATGGCCCAACCATCTCAGTCGATGAAGATTCACAACCTCATCAACCGAGTTACCATAATTCCCTAATAACCTCACTATTACTTACTTGGTGATCGCAGAGGATGCCTGCATTATTTCTAAGACATATGTGATCAAATATTAGTAACTTACAAGTGTCCTCTACTCTTAATGACAACGTCTCGCAGCCGTAAATTAGAACAGAACGAATTTTTGCTCAATATACTCATCTCCTAAGTGATAGACGAACGAATATCTCGTCTTCATCATAGGTGACGTAAGTTGGCAAAAGCCAAACGAGCTTTTTGAATTCGTGCAGAGATTTTGTTCGACACCAACCCATTATCGCTGATCAGACTTCCAAGATAAATGAAGTTGTCGACGCGTTCGACTGTATCACTCCCTATCCTTAGTTTAGATGTTGAAGCAAGCCAGTCCTAAAGCAACAACTTACATTTACATGGGGAGAAACGCATCTCAAACATCTTGACATTGTTGATCAGTACTAACAAAAGACTGCATTTTGTCAGCGTCTTCACCAAACAGGACTATATCATCTGCGTATTCTAATTCGATAAATGGACCTCCTGGTAGGATATCAGTGCCCGAAAATTCAGTCGACGAGAGCATTATGTCTAGCAGTAGGTCTATGAAGAGATTAAACAGACATGTGGATAGTGGATAGCTTTGCCGGACACCATTTGAGGTTGTAAAATCAGATGACAGTTCGTCATAAGCTCTGACTCGACTGACAGTGTTCGAGTAAAGAGCCTTCACATGGATTATGTACTTCTAAGGTACACCTTTCAATGACAGATACTGCTACAGAACCTCTTGGTTTACAGAGTCAAATGCTGCTTTTAAGTCAAGAGAAAACTATCATTTTCGGATACCAATAATCGTGCTTGTGTTTAAAATATGACGAATAGTGAATATGCAGTCTATATAGGTCTGAAGGCAGCCTGATTTTCTAGTATTTGCAGTTCACGAGTCTTTGTTAGGCTCTTGATGATTAATGAGGCTAGTTTTTTAGATCTTATATTAGTCAAACTAATCCCTCTATGATATTCACAGGATGATTTCAACCCCTCCTTATACATTGGGACAATCAGTGATTGTGACTAGTCAGATGGGATTACGTCCAACTCTCAAATTTTAGCTGAAATATTAGTCAACCTAATTTCTAAAATCGAACAATCATATTTAAAGACATCTGGAGCCAATCCATATGGACCAGCTGCTCTTCCTCGTTTCAGATTAGCTATAGTCTTTTGAACGTCAACTAGAGTCGAGGGACCTCCTTCAATGTTCCATTCAGGCTGTCTGTGAATGGTTGATAGTTGTAGAGTAGCTGAACTGCTCCTTAAAGTGTTTCGCCTATCGTTCTAATCGTCTGGACTGAGAGCAGATAAGAGTGTCGTCTTTTTCCGAGATCGTCTCACTTACACTTAACTTCTTAATTCCAGTTTCTTTTATTAGTATGAAAAGCTGTCTTGTGTTACCTACAGTCGCTGCCTTTTCCATCTCCTTTGCTTTCTTTGCCCATCACTTCTCATGGTCTTGAGCTCTTATTATTAACTAGAACGCAAATTCTTTTTACTGCTTCTTGGTTTTATGTGGTCGTCAATTAATCATCAGTTTGTAATAATATTTACTTTGGAATTTACCAAATTTTCGCCAGTCATTTTGTTGTGAAATTACTAGTTGAGTAAAATAACCCATTGTTTTTACTTTTCATTGATTTTCTCACAGCAATTTTCTCATGAGTTTATACTCTGTATTGTGAGGTATTTTATGATAGATTTTCTGTTTATCATATGGTGCTTTGTGAATACCTAGGTAATAGAAGATATAGCTGTTGGAGACTCTTCTAGTCGTGAATCTGAAGCGGAGTACGAAAATGTTGATTGCGTGGATTCGCTAAAGGTAAGTGTTATAACCATTGTCGTATAGTTTTGGAAGTAATTAAGTTGAACTGGTGGCTTGGTGGTTAAACCATTTGTCTTTCAACTAATAGATTACAAGTTCGATTTCTGTTAAACCTTGGCTTGGGCATACGCGTAGCGTTGGTAGCCTTGATACATAAACCTATTATTAAATTCATAATGTTCATTATATAGTTAAGATCAAGTATATGAAAGCTAGTTATTTCGACTAGGTCTCAGGGATTTAAATTCGTTAAATAAGTGTTTGGAAGGCCTGAATAGTACTTTGAGACATCTACAATTACTCTAATATTAAATTAACCGCATCACAAATAGGTGTCGCCATTAAATCTCGAATTCTGCCATGATCGTAAATTCACTGAGAATATAGTTAGAGTTATATCATCAGGAAACACGTTTATCCAAATGCCAAAATCAGTAATATCACCTAATTTGAAACTAAGATAGTTTGTACATGACCTGGTTGTCTGGGATTATCAATACAAAAACAGCAAATATGTGACCACGCAAGATTATTGTGACGATACAACACGAATGGGTTCTGTAAACAGGTAGACAGGCATACTCAACGCGGGATCTGGGGCAGATATAGGTCGGTCTGCTTTCCCACACATCACATCGACACAAAGACAGGAATTTGACTCGGGCAACAAAAGAGTACAAAAAATCTAATACCATTGGTAACGCCAAACCAAATAAAATCAAGCTGAAAACTTTAAAGTTCAAAATGATATTAGGCTCAAGATTGATAATGTTTCATTCGGGAAATTCATTCCACAAAAACTGTTTATCTTCTCTCCTGTTTAGAACCCACCATCGGGTATGCATGTTACTGTACTGAAAGAACTTAAAAATGTAATATCCCACCGTCGAGTGATTATGCAGGAGCGTGAGGAATGTGCTTTAAAACGACGATTGCAAATAGAGTGTCTTGATGATGAAAAACCGAGTCCATCCACTGACAGGGTCAATCTAAGTTCTGAAAAGGAACTTCAAGTAAGACTAACAAATGTTATTTTTAGATTTTCTTGCTCTATTCTGTTGTAGTATAATGTGTCTGATTTTTTATGTTTTTGAAAATGCCTCACATATAAGTAGTAGTCTTTCTCTTATACAAGCCATAGTGGCTTATTGGAATATGGATTATTTTCTGTGCCGTCGGGATGTTATTCTGACTATAAAATACAGAGTTTACAACGTGTCGGTGACAGCAGTATTTTTAGGTCTTCAGAACATGCCCTCATTCAGGATAAGGATGTACGGTTACTCCGTTCGACCATCATTGTCTCTAAAGGATTGTTGACATTCAATGGGAACACAATGTTAATAATTTGGAGGTTCGGCAATGTATGTTCGGAAACAATGACAATAATTTACTCGGTGTCACGATCTTGAAGCGCCGACTTCGGTGACCTGAATGTGTGCTACCAATGTCATCTCAGTGACTTGCACATAGTTCTTTATTTGTCGACGCTAAGACTTGTAGGAAAGGGCTTAGAGGTGGTCAGCCTATAAAGTGGCACCGGAGTATGTAGGCTAGTTGTATATAGCTAGGATGTATTGGTCCATCTCGGCTGCCTGGTTGAGGTCGTAGAGACTATGCAACTCTGTGGCTCAGAATAGAAGCGATTAATGATTCCTTTCTCTTTTCTTATTTCACTCTTCGTAACAATAAAATAAGCTTCAGCTAAAAAACCTTTTCTTGACTGCTTTTAATTGAGCCGTATAGTATTAAGTACTATCTCTGTTCATTTCTGTATGGATTATACTTTTTCTTCCTCTTATTTGTTCACAATATTATTGCTTCATTTGTGTGATCCATTTTTAGCTATTCTATTTTGTCAGACTTTATATACAGTGAATAATTAAATAATGATACCGAGAAGTACTTTGGTCATTCCCATTAGTTTACTCACCTATGAATATTCACACTGTTTCTCTAACGATTTAGTGACTTAGGGAGATCAGAGTACCATTTCCCCCTAATTTCACAGAGTATCTGTCGCTTTCTTTTTGGAAATAGCCACATGTTTCTGGGAATACCAGATTTAAATGTGAAATTGCATAGACAAGTTTTAGAAGCGGATGTTTATTAATTGATTATTTTTAGACTCTGGTTACAACAGAAAATTTATTTCATAAAGCCGGTTACCTTAGCTAAACCTCACACAAACTGTGTAAAAAGCAGTCGCGTATATAGAATTGAGTTTGATAAATAAATGGGATATTAATGGTGTTATTAATTGAGTTCTTTCTTTTTAGGAATATTTTTCTGTTGGAGCCTCCCAATGTCCATTCAGTTTTCAATATTTTAATAGCTACATGTTATAAACGTCATATAAACCTCGTCTATAGTTTATGATGCTAGCCATCCGTACAGACTTCCAGTCTATAGTCAGCTGTTCAATAGCATACATTAAGTCTACTTTTCCATAATCAGTTTGATATATATTCTTAAAGTAAGTAGTATAGATTTTCACTTTTGTTCTTTTCAGAAGTGATTTTTGTTACTTCACGTTACTCTCAAAAGTCCTACTGATCATGTTTTGTCACACTAAAATGCTCATGGATTAGCGTCTACATTATTGTTTGTGTTTCTCACTGACTTTCGAATTTTTACCCGCTTATATTTCAATACGTAAATAAAAAGGTTATTTCCAGATCTTATTTATTATCTGATCATTTTTTCTTTAATGTTTAGACTCAGTTTCTGTTATCCAATTCACTTGATACGAATGAAAGCAACTGTGCTTCTATGGATGGTAAACTACTAGAATTTTTCCCAACTCCTGTGTGTAATTCATCATGCGAATATTTCAAAAAGTCCCGTACTGGACGTCGAAATTTAAAATGTAATGTTTTAAAAAGAAATTCAATCTTTCTTCAGCTGTCATCTACTAATGTACATGAAAATTATAAAAGTTCAAATTGTTCTGACCCAGTTGTATTGAAAAATGTTTCACAGTCAGAAAACCCACCAGATAATAAGTTTCTACAGTGTTCTGCACTAGCGAATGCTTTAATGAATCAACGTAAATTGTTGGGGTTAGCAACAGAGGATTATTTTATCGGAACTGGTTCAGGTGAAATGTGTGTTGAAATGTCAAAAGAGAATCATACAGTCATTTCATCATAATCAATGAGCTTTGCTTTACACTTATTATTATGTAGTAATAGACATTGTACATTATTCAGTTTGTTATTTTTCTGTGTAACTCTTCTGGCACTTGAGGGTGCAGTCGCATTGTACTTTGTTAAAAGTGAAATATACGTCTAGATACGTGGTGTACGTAATAAAATTGGTGTTGGTACGTAATAGATGCTATTGAAGATATGTTCAAGTATTCTATGCTCCAAATGGGTAATATAGATTTTTACCCCTTGAATTTCGTACGTATTACCGAAAGGAAATGTAATTTGTTCCGAAGTATGTTCTTTGCTTCTTGATTACACATTTGCAACGTTTATGCCTTGTCGCGATCAAGTGAAGTAGCGGCAGAATTATTCTCCCGAATTTATGATAAAGTTTGACTTTTGAATATCAAACTAGCTGAAATCTAGCATATTGATAATAATAATAATTTATTCTCCCGTTGTGATAAGGGTCTTTTGAAGATGTGTCCTATAACTCGATTCAATCACTAGGTGCGAACTTGACGCCTGACTAACCCGCGATGGTGAAGAAAATCAAGACTACTTGGGATCTTCACTGCTGAAAGCTGAATAATTTGCTCAAAATTTATGGGAAAATATAGGTTACGGGTGATATGTCTGCAGGATAGTAGCGATATCTCTATCAGTAACTTCGATACTGTATACAACGGTTCTATTCTTATTCAGCTCCAGATACCTCAAGGGGCAAATGTTATACGGAAGAAGGTCGATATATATCCACAGTAATTCAATAGCCTATCAATTGATTTTAATGGTTATCAATCACGGAATTTAAGGTCTTGGGAGTCATCACTTAAATGTAAAATAGCTGAAGTAGTGACTAGAACAATGAAATGACTTGAAACGCTAAACTAACTGTATGCAGATTAAATCAATACAAATTAGAATGCATATATTTTTAACTGAGACAGGGATATGTGGGTTGTGATATTGTGTTGGTGGATAATTTATCTACTCACAGTAGATTACCCATAGTTTTCTGTCACCACTTCTCTTTGGGACAGCATTTGTTTTGTCTGACTGCCTAGGGAATCAACTGAAGCATTTGAATTGATTAATAGTATTCAGGTTTTTCTATTACATAGAAATCCTGATAAGAGATTGATTGCTTTTATGTATTCAAGATATAGTACTCAAAGATCAGTGTCAAATGTATCAAAAGCTATAACCAAGTGATCAACATATAAAAGGATTATAGAAATATTTTAGTAATATCTAAAAAAGAATATATCATGTGTATACGAGTTCACATTAGAGTTCTTCCTTTTTCACTTGAGTTGAAAGTGGGCAGTATGTATAAAGATCATGGTTGCCTTGTATTGGAAGTTGCATCTAAACATATCAAATACCTCCTTAAGATTTTGCTTATCTGGTGCTTATAGATCAATAGATAATTAATTACAACTTTCCTAAATTACATGTTTCCATGACAAACAATATTAACTGATTTAAGGATTATAAATTAATATAAAAAGCGTATAAGCTAATTGAACGATGTCGTTAAAGGTATTTCGATGACAACAAAACCAAATAGTTATCATTAAGGATGTTTTAGGTTTCATTCATTTTATTCTGTTCAAAAGTTTCCCTGAACCTATGTAGTTTAAACGGTGTCTGTTTGACTGCTTGTTTTCAAAGACATCCCGAACAAACCAAACTCGCGAGGCGAGATCGTGGAAGCGTACTGCTGAGGAGTCCCACAATAGGACGAAACAACCATCCAGTGCTTCCAGGTTTTCTGTGGTGATCCAGCCTCAATTGACTCATGAATTTAACTACAAAATTACTAAAATCTCTAGAAAATCCCTTCTGACAAACCAAACTTCTTTTTGAGGCTGCATTTTTTAAGAGACATACAGCGATGTTAAGTCTTTTCGTCATAAAATAAGCATCGAGAGTCAGAGTACAAAAGTACCCAAAACTGAGTAGGCGATATATTCCAACTAATATTTGTAACTACTAGCTAGTAGTAAGTTTAGTAATTCAAAAAATGAACTTTCTGTTTTGCCTTAATTTATGTGAAAGTCTTGGGGTTTGAAATCAAAATAACTTCAACATTTTGCTTAGCAGCCTTGTCTCAGACTTGTTTTTACTTCAAGCGATTACATTTTTAAGTCTATTATTTTTTAGCGTCTTCCTAAACTCATCTCATGACTGTGTTTCTACTCTATTGCTTTGATACGAAATAAGGAAGGTGAAACACAATAAACCAGAAAGTCGTTCAAGGAAGACTTGGCGAATGCTTCTATGTAACATAATAATGCTCATTTTGGGCATGGACTTTTTTGACGTCCTTTTTGACATCCTAATAAGTATTATCTGTGAATTACTTTTTTGAATAAAACTTATTCTAAGTGCAGGTAAATCTTTCTAAACTGTATAATCGCCTTAACTTTTTATCTGAAAGCGGATATTCTGTACTCAGTGGTAGAGATTTGTTAGTAGTAAGTAAGTTATTTTTAAAAAAAACATGCGTAGATCAACTTTGGAAAGTTGTGAGACAAAAGTTTACTTAAGTTGGTTGTCCTATTTCTTGAACCTTAAAACATCACATTTTAACGAATAATCAAACTTGGAATGGTGAAATAAACAGATTATATGCATAGAATATTTATGAAACTACTCTTTAAATATGCATACTTCAGATTTATTCCGTATATTGAATTAATTGAATAGCGAATTCGAAATACCGTATGGATGTGTAAATATATTATTTAATTATTTACATTTACTAAAGATATATTTGACGAGGTATTAACTTGCTATAAATTAGTTGTATTCAAAGATTATGCTTATACTACAATGCTGGTGAATAATTCTATTCATTAGAATATGAGAACTGCAATCCAATAATTATATACATATACTAGGCCATATTTGTTATATCTCGAAGAGAATAATGAATGGTAACTTTTGAGAACTATTTATGGACCAATGTGATATGTATATTTCCTATTGTATAATTGTTAAGTAATTTATTTTTCAATGTTCCTTTTATTATGAGCTATATTTTGACCCATAGACTATTATTATACGATTTACCATTCTTGAGTTATACCCAGTTTACTAAATACTGTTCTACACATTCACAGCCACATTTGACTGAATCTTGGAGTTTCTTATTTTATGGTACGATGTGATCTGTTTGATTGGTATATAAACTCAGTATGCTTGAAATAAATGATTCATACAGCAGAGGCTGTTATTGGTTTCTGGACTTAACTGTCTGAGCTAGACAGGAAAGCAAGACCGACAAGTACTCTAAACTGTTCGCACGGGTTTCGTGTGTCATTGGTCTAATCGATAAATCGCTGTTCTCTAATTGGCGGTCTTATAACGTCATATATTAAAAAGGACACGCACGCACTCACTCGATATAACAATGTTTATTTTATCAACGTTGAAGAGCCTTACAGTTATCACTTTTTTATATTTAACCATATTTCTATATAGTTATTATTAGAAATCATAGTTAAATTGATAAATCATTTTAGAAAAAAAATTTAACAGATAAAATCTATCGTGTAAGTGATATTATCTGGCATTTAAAAGGATCTATGGAAAATAAACTAATTACAGTATATCGAATAATCTTATTGTCTAGAAATGTTCATGAATGATTATATGAGTTTCACAAATCCATGGAAGTTTATGTTGAACGTCTGACTTCCTACCATACTGTAAATACCATATTGCTGTCATGGTGAGACAATAAAAAAATATATTGAATATTTTATAGTACTACTTAAATTCGTCAATAGTTTGAAAGTAATTGATTTGAAATTCATCACCATCACAGTTTTACACTAACTGGAGGAATATTAAGAATTGGGCACTACTGAAAAGTTATATTGTTTTGGTTTATCAGTTCACAAATAATCTTTGAAAACAGATTGAATCCAGAGTTCTTATAACTTCTAGTTTGAACATAATTAAAGTTATAATCCCTAAAATTATTATTTTCGTTTTAGTAAATACTCAGATATTCAAGAAGAAATCTCATTACTACTTTCAATGAAGTATAGCTATATTATAAACAAAGGAAAATTATCAAAATTTCAACTTATTATTTAATGATGCAACAGATTACTATTTTGCACACCTTTAATAACCAAACAAACATCTTAGGATACCTGTTATAACCTGTGAACGCCAATTATTATATCTTTTGCCTGAGTGCCCTGTTAATATATAACCTGATAATACTGCCAATTAGAGAGCAACGATTTACCGGTCGGACCAATGACACACGAAACCCGTGCGAACAGTTTAGAGTACTTGTCTGTCTTGCTTTCCTGTCTAGCTCAGACAGTTAAGTCCAGAAACCAATAACAGCCTCTGCTGTATGAATCATTTATTTCAAGCATACTGAGTTTATATACCAATCAAACAGATCACATCGTACCATAAAATAAGAAACACCAAGATTCAGTCAAATGTGGCTGTGAATGTGTAGAACAGCATTTAGTAAACTGGGTATAACTCAAGAATGGTAAATCGTATAATAATAGTCTATGGGTCAAAATATAGCTCATAATAAAAGGAACATTGAAAAATAAATTACTTAACAATTATACAATAGGAAATATACATATCACATTGGTCCATAAATAGTTCTCAAAAGTTACCATTCATTATTCTCTTCGAGATATAACAATACCATCTACTGAACGATTTAAGATTATCACTAGACGGTTTTGTGCAAATTTTAGTAGTTTTATATAGTTGAAATCATGAGTCCATTGAAGCTAGACCACTACGGAAAACCTGGAAGCACTGGACGGCGGTTTCCTTTTATTGTAGGACTCATGATTTCAACTATAGAAAATTACTAAAATCTTCACAAAACACCCTTCTGATAATGATCATATGCTCACTAGTGACTGACTCCATGAGGTATTTCCTGAAGTTCTACTATGAAGCAGTAACCCGTGGAGTTCAACCAGGTCTGTTGGGAGATAT